CCCGGAAGGAAAATTCCTCTTGAAACTCCAGGAGCTCACAAGCAGAACTCCTACAAAGAGTGGTTATTATGCTAAATCCGAAGTGTACTTAACGGTCGTTGGTGTAAACAGTTAACTAAAAAGCAACCGCCATTCGACCGACAATAAACCTAATTGGTTGAGGAATGCTAGGGCTCATATGAGGTGAGTGAAGCAAAATGTGGAGAACCTGTTGTTATCCTGTGTAGAAACTGCTATAGTTAGAGCATGGCCGAAGGATGAAAGCTGAAGCCATGGTTGACCGACCGCAGTTTATCTTGTTCAGTGATACTGGGACTTACCCTTTTATTCTGGAGGTTAGCAACAGGTATATGGGGAAGGTGAAGTCGCGGCAAAACGTGCCAAGAAGGATCACAAGACATATATCTGTTTTTGCTTGATGGAAAGGTATGATTAGAAATTTACTGATTATTAGTATCCGCACATACACGAGCTTTGTTAGCAAGTTTGTATTTTACTAACTGACATCATAGAATGCAATTGATTATTGGCTGAAGCCAGGGAGATAAGTAATCTATGGACAATTTTCTTTATGCTGCAGATTGGAACTCAAGAAATCAGGATACGGTACAATCGCTCTTTGAATTAGAGTTTTGTGCCACCCAGTCCAAATTTATGAGGCAAACAGATGGAAACCTTTGTTGTCTAATTTAAGCTTACTGTATACCAAAATAACAGGTCAGGCTATTTATTTTCCATCATTCGTCAACCCTACAATCACATGAAGCGTAATACTGTAGCAGTCGACCAAGAACCGCCTTCTGATTACTTAGTTAGTTATTCAGCCATAGTCGGTGTAGCAAATTGCAGCAGTTTTCGGTTTTGTCGACCGGGGATTATGAGAGTGAGAGTAATAGTCTCACACGCGGGAATTTGAGAGGGTTCTAGGCAATCTGGGTGGAAAGGGTGCTGACTGCCAATTAATATGCTGCAGTCGATTACTACATATAGCACAGCGTCCACTGACTATGACGCGCGGGCCCATCAGTCTGTTGCTACAATGCTTCGCTGAAATACCGCAGGTACAATAATCCAACAGCAGCTTATAGGACGAGGATGAAGGAAGTCTGAACCATTACTATTAGAACCAGTCAGATGAAATTCGCAATAAAGATCCTAAATTTGACTAGCTTCGGATGTCCACTAATCAAATATGCATCAGGCATATTGCTGTACCGGTCATTATGAGTTTCAATTTTAAGATTGTCATTTCTCCTGGTTTTTCTTCCGGGACGGATGGCGTTTCCTTAATTATGTCAAAATATGAATCCTTTGTCTGGTATTTTTAGCCACAGTTTTATTCGATTCCTCCCAGAATCTTGTCAGTCATTACTGTGTTTATCTGACGCATCTACCTGATTGAGCTTCTTTGAGCTCGTGAATAATTGTGCAGTTGCCCATTCCTGATTTCCTATGCGAGTTGGTATCGTCAGAAAAACATCCAATAAGATATACACTTTTTGAATTCTACTTGATTTAATTTTTATGTACCATTTCTGTTGCAGCCTATTTGAACATTTTACGGCAGATTTGTGGGAAAACACCACAGGCGTGCAAGCGGACTGAAGAATATGATGGATTGTTTGTTTACAAAGTGGTTTAAAATTATCTGAAAATACTTACAATTACCGTCCGAATTACATACAATGCCTCCAAAGTCAAAAGTTTCAAAGAAGGGAGGGGCAAAAAAGAAAGGAAAACGTTCTGCAAGGAAGGGAAAGAAGGTGAGTGATTAGGAAACATGTTGAAAATGTGCAAGAAGACCAAGTTTGAAATGGAACTTGAGAAATATCAGAGCATCCCGGGGAAATATCGTGAGCTTCTGGATTCCGTCAATTTGTGGATGGATGAGCACGTTGAAGAGCTGATCAAATTACTGAAGCTGCATGTATCATACTCCCCTGATCAGACAAGTTACGATGATTTTGAAGCAGGTACATTTTGTTCTCTGCGAGATTTACCTGGATTTCTCTTCACAGCCGTTGTTTCGATGAGCTTCCCATTTACTAAACTAGAAATTCGCATAATCATGCGTTTGTTTGATCATGACCGCGATGGGATGATTCGATTTGATGACCTGAACACGCGCTTGAGCTACCTCAGGTGAGATTTTCACATGCGCGACTGATACGAACACACTAGCATTCAAATTTCATAAGGAAACACAGGATGAGCGCATTATATCACAGTGTCTAAGTATATATGACGAGAGCTCCCGACGAGCCTCGATGAAGATCAATCCTATGGTGTAATCAAAACACAAATGCATTTTCAAGTAGTATGAAACTCACTTTACTAATCTAATAAGTTTGCTTCATCTGAGTCCACCTCCTCCCCTCCTATTTGTTTACTTTTACCTCCATCTTATCCCCCTTTTTACTTTTATATTTGCTGACTTTCTCACTATAGTCCTCGTTATCATCAGTATTATCGCCAGGATGCTACCAGCCTCAATAACATAAGAGAGCACCATTAACGAGTGCGGAGACATGAGTTGCTGCGGGAATGGTTGATAGCAAACAAAGTGCAATGAAAACAAAGTGACAGAATCTAGAGGAAATAACCTGAAAGATAAAGTTTTACATGATACCAAGCAAAAACGAATACCTATCTGTGTAGGCTATCAGGCGTACATTGGGGTTTGGACATCGGCTACGTGATGTGCCAAGTACATAAGGCTAGAAGTTTTGTATGTGGTGATTTCGTAGATTGAGAACTTTTATACCAATCAATGTGTGCCGCTTGCTCTGAAATCTCAGCGTAGATGCAATAACACAGATGTCAGCACAACATATGCGTGGGAAGTAAATTTTATAATTTTCCTACAATTCAATGAACGAAGTCTTCCCACTTTTGGCTGTTTGTGAATCAGAACTGGGACGCTAGAGCAACAGCATGCGTCAGTATGATCACTTAACATGACTAGCTGTTTCTTGCTTGTGTTTTTAGAGTTAACATTAAACGGATTTTTCAGTTTTCACCTTCTTACAACGAAAAACCTCAAAGACAATGTTGTGCTCATAACGAACTGAACTGGGGCAGAAAATCCCCGTACTACATTCAACTTAGTCCTTTTATTGTAGACCGTATCTAGCCAAAACGTCATTTTGCCCGTTTCCTTGATCCCTTAGAACAGAGTCTAGCCACTCATAGATCCGCAATTCGATTTTCCCAAAGCTACTCTGGCGGTCCGATTGCGTTTCTCTCTTGAGGGTTACTTTGATCGAAACCAGGAATTTAAGTCATCATTTAGGACACTCCGAGTTTTGATGGAATTGGGTAAACAAACTATGTCAAAGTGACTCGAGAAGACAATGCGATATACATGGAACCTCTGCATAATCAGTTTGCTGCAACGGCCAGAAAAGGGTAGTCTAACAAACTCTCACAAATGTTCTGTAATATAAAGAAAAAACTCACGCGCATTGAATAGTTTCGGCCAAGTGAGCTTTAGCTTCAGAACAGTTGTATCAGAAATCTCAAGAGTTCTTTGCTTAAGATACCAGTTTTTGTCGTCTCCACTAAAAATGTCTGGTATTACGAAATATTTGACTGGAGTAGCGTAACATATACACAACCGATGACTCATGATCGCACGTCGACAGCCATTTGATCGCGCATTTGCCAGACAAGTGATGTATTTGCTGCAACAAAGGTCGAACAGTAACCAGGGGAATGAAAATCGAGAAACATCCAGACAAAAATTCCCTCTGGAAAGCAAGTTTCTATGGCAGGTCTATCAAAACCCGTCTACAACAATGTTGAGATCTGTAAAGTAAAATATAATGAAAATGAGTGAGCGGTGTGTTCAGATACCGAACTTTACCTGTGATGCAGCGTGATGCAAAATCTTGTTTTTAGATTGATGGCAAAGATAAGGTATGTATTTCTTTCCATTGTGAATTGTTATCCGAGCATGGAGTATTCGAAAGAGTACGAATTTGCTTAGTACGAGTGGAACAAGCCCAGCATTCAACTGTTTCGCTGACGAAAACGAAAAATACTTGTAGGAAATAATACGCATTAATTACACCAGTATCAAAATAATGGTAGAGTATGCTGTTTTCAGGATACCTGATTTCATTCCACAGAGGTAGGGGTTGTTTCGACATTTTAACACTAGAGTTCCGAGAAAGAAAGTATACTGACTATCGCAAATACTCTATTCGCATACCAGTTTGGTTTTGACAGCAAAATTCCACTGAATCTAGCTGATCCTTCCGTTTGTGACGGTTCTCTCCAACTAAACGTACTGCGCGGGGCCACTTCATGCTTCTTTTGA